AAATCTGCTCAACTCAACGACGCCTCGTACAACCTCGACTGTGAAAAAGTTAGGATGATATATCAAATATAAATAAAGCTGCACAAAACACAAAAAATGATGATGTCAGCGGCACAGGTCTGTGTTTCCTCTCTAACATTAGTCTGTGATGTCTGTGAGCCGAGGACAGCAGCTGGTCTGTTGAAGGATACTTTTCTTACCTTTTATTGCTTCAGTCTCAGCTTTGTTGAGACGTGTTTCTGCCATCAAATGAAAAATGAGCTCATATTAAACATTTGATATATTTCTGTGTTTTTATTGTGATTAAAAAAAGCTTATGAGATTTGTATTTTCTTTCTTTAAATAATTTCCCAGGTTTTTGACTCTTACTTTGAATAAGACCCTTATACTGAGAATCATGTGTTTCCTGCCCTCCAGTGGTCACAGTGTGAAACTGCATTTACAAACGCGTTACAGGTGCTCAGTCTGACACACACTTTCCTGGTAGTTCTTTCAAAATAAGAGGGGAACCAGTCCCATAGACTCCCATGTTAAATCCTTACAGCAGTAATAAACATGTTTACAGCCGGATACACAAACTGTTTGGTCTCTGTGGATCATTTCCCCGTCATAACAGCTGTTTGTATAACTCACCCTCTAAAGTTTGCATTACTAGGGGCGTGGCCTCTTTGACCGGCAGGTGGAAGTTAATACAGGCGGCTGTAGCTGCTAGCTTTCTGCTAGCGTCACCTGAACTGGACCTCTGGACCGTGTTTGTGCTGTTGGAGCCTTTTGGAGCATCTTTCATGACATCATCAGATATGTCACATCTCTGCTATGAGGTTACTATAGCAACAGGCCGTCCAACAAGGCTGAGCTCCAGTTTCAGCGATGGAGTCTGCGGACAGAGACTGGTGACCACGCTTTAATTTTGAAAGACCGGAGCTGAGCAAGAGCGTTTCCTGTCGGGTTTGTTGTTTCCGGTGTGGATGCAGCTGTTGGAGGTCCCAGCATCAAAATGACCAAGCTGCAGCTGCTGAACGCTTACCTGACGGAGCGGCTGACGGTGGTGGTGAAGGAGATCCTGGACGTGGTGGAGGACACGGTGGCCGAGTACCGGGAGGAGACTGCCAGAGCCAAGCGGGAGAACGAGAGCCTGCGGAGGCAGCTGCGGGACATCCTGCTCCTGGAGGCCGGGACCGAGTGGCTGAGTAAGGGCCGAACTAGCCGGCTAGCTCCGCGAGAGAACGCGCATTCAGAACTGCGATGAAAATCCGCTCGTTTAATAGAAATACGCCGTTTTAACGTTAAATTCAGGCTTAACTGCAGATTTTCACGGTTTTATGTGTTGTTAAGGACTGATTTGTGTATTCGGCATCATTCAAAC